TAAAATTGTTGAGTATCATCATAACGTTCAAACTATATTTAATGCTATTATATTAATAATTAGAGAATATAAATGCGAGAGTAAAATTCGTTTTTTTACGTTCGACAATGCTTCTGTAAACAAGGTCGTTATCGATAAATTGCCTAGAGTACTTCAACCCGATTTCGGTGGTTATTTATTTCATATTCGATGTGTGTGCCATATTTTTAATATAATAGTACAAAACAGTTTAAAACATGTAAATGATGAAATTAACATAATTAGGAATGCACTTATATATATTACGATTACACCTAATAGAAAATAAGCATTTGAGGAATTTTGTGAATAAGTTGGGAATGAGCATACAAAAACTTTTATTACCGACGTAAGTCATAAATGGAATTCAACTTACTTATTATTAAAATCCTGTGAAGGTTTTGAAACGTTTATCACTGAATTTTATAACAATAGGCATGTTAGAGATGAAGACAATACTATCTTCAATGAATCCGATTGGACTATAGTTTTTAAAATAAAAGGTTTTTGGCAAGCTTTTATAAGTTTACAAATATATTGTCTGGTATTTATTATCTCACTAGTTGAATGGTTCTTGAACGTCTTTATATAACTGTTAGGACTTTTAAGAGATATCAAAATGACCCCGATTTTCATGCGGTTATATATTCCATGGAATTAAAATTTAGAAAATATTGGGAAGAATTACCTATATTATTTCTTTCAACATGCGTCATGGACCCCAAATATAATTTATCGAGTACTAAATTTGTAATTGACCAAATTTCAAATGTTTTAACTTTTAATATGCCTATTACTTATAGGAATTTGGAACAAACGTTAATTGAAATGTATGAATTATATGCTTCACGAATATGTACACATATTACTCGTGTACCTACAACTCCTCCCCCCACTAATATAAACGATGAAGACGCTGAAGTTTTAAATTTATTCGAAAACATGAACTCATATAGATATGATTCAACTGCATATGCATGTGGTTCCTCTAGTAGTAGTAGTTTGTCTTCTACTGCATGTACTCAAACTTTGAGTACTAGTCCAAATGTGTTGTCATCCGATTTAATTGATTACTTTAGTCATACTTTGCCTAGTAACAGATCAGTTAGGAAAAGTTCAGAAGATATCAATGAATTCTGACGAAATAACGAACGCCGATGGCCAATAGTTTCTGCAATTGCAAAAAATCTATTATCACCTCCGGTTAGCACTGTAGCTTCGGGGTCTACTTTTAGTGCAGGGAAGATGGTTCTCTCTGGAGTCAAAAGTCGACTAAAAGAAGATATTTTGGAAACGTTAATGTGCGTGAAGGATTTGGAAGAAGCTAATTATCGAATTCAACATAAATATACTGAAATTGCGTGTAATTAAGTAAGTGATATTTAATTTCACAGCATTCATTACAAAATTTTATTTTCATACCTTTAATAATTTTTTTTAAAAATTGTACACGTAACATGTTATTTGTGTACAATTTTTAAGTCCGTCTACTCAAANAATTGAAGTAGCCGGTCCCAAACCCGAATAAAGGAGGGGGATTTATCTTTTTTTTTTAAAAATAAATTTTTTTTAGAAAATGTATATTTAAAAAATTGTTTACAAAATGTGTGTGTGTGTGTGTGTGTGTGTGTGTGTGTATAAAAGGGTAATTGGGTAAACAAAAAACAAAACTCAACAAATAAAATTTTGTTCTTATTATTTCAAAAATTAGAAATGTTTTGAAAAATGTATATTTAAAAAAAAAATAGAAAATGTGTATATATATTTTTTTTGAATTTAAAGTTTGGTTATAGTAGTGTTAATAATAATAATAATAATAATAATAAAGACGTCAAAAATGACGAGCCGAACGGCTCGTTTTGGGCGAGCTCGGGCACGAGCTGAGCTCGCCCAAAAACCAACGAGCCACGAGCTCGGCTCGTGCTCGTGTGGGTATGGGCTCATTGACACCTCTATGTGTTCCCATCTCTTCCTCTCTGCCGTCGTCTTCTTCCAATTTTCGGCCGTGTCATCCGTTTTTTAATTCTGGCCGTCTGTGTATATTTTTTTTTTTCTTGCACTGCCTCCAGCATGTGTCCTCTTTTATTCCAATCATTGTCCATTGTTTTGTTCCATCCAAATTCCAATTCCTCCAACAATGTTGTGCCAATTAGGAGTAAAAGTAGAAAACAAATCCTTTTCAATCTCAGCCGTCACTTTAATTAGTGCTTGCTTCCAAGTCCTCAATTAATGATGTAATGCACTTTAGTCCTCCAATCCAATTACTTGTGCTACCCATGTATTTCTTTACTTCAATTTCTAAAGTGTGGAATTTGATCACCCAAACTTTCGGTAACTACAGATTTCATTCAATTCCATCCTTCTTCCTTTTCCAATTGCTTATAAATAATTTCAACACTAAAACAAACGAAAATAAATCCCATGTTAAATAGAATTCAATACTTTGACGACATAAAAATATAATAATATGGCCCGAATAAATGCACTTATCAACCAAGATGAAAGATCATAGCCACGAGGCATACAGTTGGATTAATTACTCCTTTTTCATGGATGAATTTGAGGGTTACGTTCGCCTTTTAGTCAGAGGATCATTGAGCGAACCGCTTTAAATTGCGTGCATTCGATATGCATATTTTCTCAATCTGAGTGCTAGGAGTTCCATGCAGAATTTTCCAATTCCTAAGAGACAAATCTTTAGTATAGTTCTTAGAGGGTATATTAGATTTAAATTATATATTGCCCTCTATTTTTGGCATATTTCTCGTGCATGTTAAGGAAAACCTTTCCTGGACTCTCCAAATTTCGGGTGTCGCCTCGTCAACATAAAAACTCGAAATCTTTTACTCTCTTTTCTGGTTTAGTTAACTATTGTACTCTTTATTCTTTAATTGAGAAACAAATCCACATTGATATATATCCACAAACGGTCGAAGATGGTCCATTGCCAGCCCTTGTATCGTTAGCTTTATATTAATGGTAACATTAATTGTGAAAAGATTCATGTTTCTTCAAATCAATAATTTAACTTTAAACAAGTTGCAAGCACAAGATGCAACAGATAAAGTAATCTATTCTTAGTAGGCCTGAGCATTTTAATTAAAGTCGAAAAATAAATTAGAAAGCAAAATTGAAAATCAACTGGTCCGGGTCGATTCTTGGTTCCTGAACTAGAACTGTGGGTACCCAAATGGAATCAAATTTTTAAATTTTTTTTATAACACGTGACAATTGAACTCGATATTTTCATAACTTGGATTGTGGTGTACCTTTTTTATTACCTTGAGTTCGTGGTTTTCTTTTAAAATATATTTTTTCCTTTTTTTTATTCAAATAGAACGAATTCAATATGTGGACTGTAATTTTTTTGTACTATATAGTTATGTATGTAATTAGTATTTTTATGTCAATTCATTTTAAGAGCAGAAGAATTTAAACGTTATTCATAATTAAATTATAGGCTCTAGTACCTCACAGTTATGGATCTAATAAGATTTATTAAGAAAAAAATAATTTCTTCTCACACTGTAATTTAATTTTTGATGTTTTAATTTTCGCATTTTTCATGGTTTTTAATATCCACTATTTTGTTTTTCAAAATTTCTTAGCTGAATTTTCTCCCTTGCACAATATTGTTGAGTAGTATTATGTTAAGTATATGCATTGAAATGGCCCATAAGTAAATATTTATTAAATGGCCCATAAGTAAATATTTATTAAATGTACATAAAAAAATATTATAGGTAGAATCGAATCCGAGCAGGAACCGACAGTTGGGGTTTATGTTTGATTCCAATAATTATAAAGATTCAAACAATTCCATTTACGAAATATTTGAAATATAATAAGTAGTTTTGAGTATTGAAATATCCATATCGAGCCATCCGACGCGCAAGCCTAATTCTCCGTCCCTTTTATCATGGAGCATGAACATGCTGTTGATGTTATCTGATATGCCAATATAAGTATAAAAAACCCTCAACATCAAAAATATGGTAATAGTAAAAACAAGAGGAAATTGCAAAAAGTGTCCACTTTTACATAGCAATTTACAAAAATATCTAAAAGTTCTTCAATGTCCATTTTACTATAATGTAGACCAAAATGCACTCATTAACAATTTTAAATTACACAATAAAAACAAAATTATTTATATAATTAAAAATTGTATTGACTAATAATAATTTGACACATAACTTATACTACTTTATTTTAAAAAGTACAATGTCAATTATGCATTAAATGTTCACTTATTCGATAAATAAAATATTTATGAAATATCGAGAAATACACTTAAAATATCAAGAACATTATAAAATGTAGAGAACTCTTGTTCTGAAATAATGAAATGTCATATAAATATGGTCCAAATGTCGATAACAACTTTTAAAATGGCAAGAACATCATGAAATTTCAAAAATAACAACTATCAAAAAATAACTTATCAACAAAAACAAGATTTCAAAGAAAAATTACTTTATATCGAGAATTGTAGAAAGCTTAATCAATTGCAAATTTAGACGTGATTAAATTTTTTGAAATGAAATTATATAATTTTCTTATGAATTGGAAGCATATAATTATTTTTTTAGTGTTAATGACTTTTTTACTTCGTCTTCTTCATTTTTTCCCAAAATTTTTGGTCAATACATAATAGATAATAAAAGCAAACAAATTTATTAGGTATTAGCTAGTATTAATGTAGCTTCTCACAGAAGCTACTTGTTCTTTTCGAAATTCGTGACAAATTGAAAAAAAAAATTGCTTCATTTTTCATTGAGGATATCATAGATAATTTGGTAACAAATTTGACAATTTTTGCAAGAATTATCAAAATTAGACATTTTTCAATTCACAGACATGAAAGTGACCATTTTTGTAAATTCTTGGGATAACGCTGAACTCAAATACAGCTGCTGTAAAGATTGCTTTAGCCACTTTTAGCGCTGGCTCCAATCTCACAAGGAAAATATTCCTCCAAAATGACATCTCATCACCACCAATGCCACTCTGGCGCAGCCGCCGCTGCCGCCACCACCCCCACCGCGTGTTATTGCTACTCTTGTTATACTGACTACAACCCATGTCAGCACCCCCCACCACCACCACCAGATCCTCACCTCCGTCACCTCTACTCATCTCACCTAAATCCACCTTACAATCCCCAAACCCAACCTCACTTCTCCAAGCACCACTCCCACTTTCAAGAAACTTATTTCCAGGAAGAACAACCAATCCATCCAACTATCTCCTCCCTCCTCCGCCGTGTCGTAGCCCTGGAATCCTCCTTCCGCCGCCGCTCTTTCTCGTCCTCCTCCCAATCTCTCCGCCACGCTGCTGCCCGTACCATCCAAACCCACTTCAGAGCCTTCCTTGTACGTAGATCAAGAACCCTCCGGGAGCTCAAAAACCTCTCTTCCATTAAGTCAACTCTCAACATTCTAAAATCCTCAGTCTCTGAAAATACCGACTTTGATTATGAAGTCCTATCTCAGAAAGCCATGTGCTTGCTTCTCAAACTTGACTGCATTCAGGTAAATAAGAATATTTTTTCTTGCATTTCATATGATTTACTATATAATTTGCATGTCTGCATTTGTTAATCGAATATGTTGGATATAATAGGGTGATGATCCAATGATTAGAGATGGAAAAATGTCAATTAACAGAGAACTGATTAATTTTTTGGATTTTATTGATGGGTTTTGCGGGAAAAGGAAGGAGGTTTCAAGTGGAGTAGTGAAGAATGTGAGATATAGGAAAAATAATAATAAATCTAGGGTTCTGCAGGGTGATGGAAAAATGAGCAATGTGGATTGTGGGATTGTGGGAAGTGTTAATGTGGAGAAATTGAGAGGTCTAGTCGAAAAGATTGAGAAATTATCTACAATGTTTGATGTGAAGGAGGGGAAGGTAATTGAAAACCCGAGGCATGGAATTCTCCAAAATAGAAGTGGCTATTTGAAGCAGCACGGTGGAAGTCAAACCAAAGCTAAGAAAAATGTGAGCTTTGCTGAAAATGGGAATATTTACCGCACCTTGAAAAGAATTCAGGAGTCTATTTCAAATGCAGATTGTAATGCTTTCATAGATGGGGATGTTTCAGTTGGTGTGGAAACAGAGCTCGAGGATTATCCTCATCGAAAATTGGAAGAAGTTGGGGTAACTTCAAAGGAGGCCGATGATGATGATGATGATGATGAGGAAGATCATCTGGAAAGTGGAGGCTCTCACTGTAGCAGTGACGGTGAAAGAGAGTCAAGAAAATGTATGAGAAGTGAACCTAGTTTAGATAGGAAGGCACAGTAAGGCTGAAGATAAGATCTTTCTATTTTCCACTCCATTGCCTGTGAAGACCGAAAAAAGAACTTATTTGGTTGACTAGAAGAAGATTGTAAAAATAGTGAAAAATGGCATCAGACTTATCTTCTCCCTGCAAAATTTTGGGACTTCATTGTGAAGGTAGGCTATGTTGTTCCTAAACTTTCATCTTGATATGGGATTGATTGAAACAAGATTCATTGACAGATCTTAACAGCCTCGCAAGATAACCATTTTCATCCATTGTGAGGCAGTGGTATGTAACACTTCGACTGTATTATCCATGCATGCTTTCTAGTATCTTTGAATGGGGATTTTCAGCATTGTGTTTCGGGAATTCCTCGTGTATTGTGTTGCATATATATTTATTTTACAAGACTTTGTCTTAAATTGTGAAGTATTTTTGAACGTATGAAATTTTCAGTTAAGTGAGTGAAAACGGATTCTTGTAGGAGAACGAAGTTAGCATCTGTTTTTGGTCGAGTGGTATTAACCAGCCTTATGTGATTCACTTTTTAAGTTCACCCATAACATTAAATGGAACTCAGCATTTAATGGATTAACCTTGAGTGTCCAATCCAACAGTGAATTAGAGGAGCCCAAAAGCTGTTACCCTGAACTAGCTATCCCCCTGTACAATCTTTGACACCTAGGATCATCACTTAGCAAATGGGAAGGCGCCGACACATTTTTTGACACCTTGGCACATTACACCTTGGCGTCTTCCCATTTGCTAAGAATAGGTGATATGCCGAGGTGTCAAAAATGTATTGGTTGACAGCAAGTTCGGGATAAGGGATCTCAACTCGAATTAGAGATAGGAATTTTGTACACGGAACACTACTAGATTGTATTAGACACTATAATAGATGAGATTTTAACATCTTTTACTCTCTTATTGCTGTCACGCATTGTTGAATCACTTGAAAAAACTTAACATTGATGGTCTATAGCTGTCCTTCATCAGGTTTTGTTTGTAAGTGATCAGTATTTCATTTGTTTGCCTCTAGATACTGCAGCTTAATTGTTCTATCTTTTGTCTTCTGTTATGATATCTACGGTGTCTTACGAGTTTTCCTTAATGTGAAACTCGAGCTTTACATATTCGGCATTCTTTGATTACCTGATTAATCATTACTATGTTGTGCTCATTAACATTTATCATTACTGTTTACCGTTGGTCGGGAATTTTGTTAATTCATTTTGTTTGCCAATTCATATGTATGCTCTTGCTGATGCATTTGAGTTGTCACTTTAAGAAAGACCAAATTACAGTGATGCTAGTGAGTTAACTTGGTGTTATTCGTGTTGCTTTATTTACCTCCATGTATTCAATGTTGCCAAAGGTCCTATAAATGGAGAGTTGCAATCTCTGTTTATCTGTTCCCTTAGCTGTCCTCCATTTAAATCTTGACACCTTACTACATCATTTTAGAATAGTCAATGGGATGACATTTCAAATGTGATGTCACTTGTAGTATACTGAATTGCATCTCGTTATTGGCTATTTCAAGCTCATGTAGTGAGGCATCAAGATTTGAGAGAAGAACAACTGAAAAAAACATCCAAATGGTAACAATATATCTAAAGTCATTAATGACCAACTTGTTCTCAACTAGGGTGATGAAACAAGTGGTCATAATGAAGGTACAATTGTGAAACATAATAAAATCCTATGTAAGAATTGTATTTTCAATGAATGTGCAACTTTGGGACCTGAGACTAAATAAATAACAAAGGATGTCGATTTCAACAAATTCTTGTAGGCAGATTTTTAAACTTAAAAAGTGTTGGACTCTTAAACAGTAACTTTATAAGTCCAAGAGACCCATGGATGTATATAAACAAGAGTAATGTATTCATCCCCAGTGGAGATGAAAACACAGTCTATGTGACTTTAAATGATAGGTTAAATGAAAGATGAAATTAAATGATTTATTTAATTTCACTTATCATTTAATATCATATTTAAAGTCACATATACTGTGTTTTCATCCCCAGTGAGGATGAATAACATTACTCTATAAACAATTGGTATAATTTCTCTAGCATTAGTAATTTAGCATGCACTGCCGATTGAATTCAAGATGACACATTTGATCAAGAAAAAATTGAGGGGGAATCCCTAATTTTTTTCAAGAAAGAACAAGCAGTGGCGTGTCCTTCGAGTTAAGAGAAACATCCTTTCGAACATAGTTGATAGACACATTTAGGCGAGTCATTAACAAAAGTATCTTATGAAACAATCATTGAACAAGACTCAATCTATATTCAATGTTGACATCAAAATTTGGTTGGATCTAGATGTCAACAGAAGAGGTCAAACTACCGTCCATGTGTATAGACAACGTTACTGCTCCAATCAAGGGTATAACGATTATATGCACTTCGACAAGGTAGAATTTGAATTGGGTGTCAGAGATAAAATGTAGAGAATATTGGCTTGGGTTAAAGGCATGTCACTTACTTTATAATGAAAATGAGCAATGAATATATATAGAATTTTGTCAGAATACACTTGACAGTTTTTTATTCGATAATGGCAAAAAAAAAAAAAAAACCATACCAAGAAGATGATACCACATCAACATCTAGTGAAATTTCTGACAGCTTTGCTTCTGTACAAGCAGAGAAATCCATAATGAAATAGAATTTATCTACTTGTACAGAAGTGGTGCTGCCTAAATTTCACCAAATGTTGCTGTAACAACATCTGGTTGGTCTTTTATTTTTTTTGGCATTGTTCAATAGGAAACTGTCAAGTGTATTCTGCGAAAATTCTTGCAGCATTTTTTTTGTACGCATATTAGAGCTGAATGAAATATGAGAAGTGGTAGGTATCGTTATATGTAACACGTTTCGTAGGGTTGTCACATCAAATATCGTATGGTCCAATATATGTAATTGGTTTGTGGTTGGCTAAGACCTTGTCACGGTGGTCTCGACTTTGAAATGGTTTTATGTCGGCTCAGATCGAGGCAAAAGTCCTAAATAGTGGAACGTCAGTTGTTTAACCAGCTTTCACGGGCACTTATACTCACCAAAGTGAAAATAGTGGTTAATTCAATAATATAAAATAGTATAATGGGTAAACGTTAGAATATTTATAATATATTAAATATCACATCAAGTGAGAATATTTTTTGGACGATTTTAACCATATTACAATTCAATTATTTTAATAAATCTTACTTTTCGTTTTTCAATATATAACAAATACTATAAAATTCTTATCATGTATGAATTTCGTGTTATTAATCTCAATTAATTAATATTCATATTAATCTGGACTCAATGAATATTGACTTGATAAGTCTTGATCTACATGAATCTAGAGTTATTATAGATGAATTTATTTCTAATCGTGTATCTAGGGATTTTAATAGGTGTTTAAATTCATGTATTAACAATTAATTCTATATACCAAATGTATTGTAAAAAAGGTTGTCCATTTGTAGTATTTCATCATCACAAAAAATTTGAATCATAGAAGTTGAATTTTAATAGTACAATTTTCTTCTATTAAATTTTTATTCTAAATTTTATTTTTTTTAGTTCGTTCGAGACTCACCAAATCCTCTCAACAAATTGGTATCAAATATTACTTTTACAACACTTATAAAACATTTTAAAATAATGTGCAATGCATGTTTAACTATAACTAATAATCTTAAATAAAGGAAAAGACTAAATTACTCTCAATAAAGAAAGGTGAATGACAATCAATCTATAAAGAGCATCTCTAATGCATTTTGTGGATTTCAATCTACGTAGATATTTAAATAGACGGATTTCTAGTCGACATGACATTGATGTTGAATGGACGATCAAGTTTAAAATTGGTTTCCAATGAGTTCCAATGGGTCTTCTTGATAGAGTCCTGTCGCTTGCATTAGAAATGATTTTTTTTTTTTTTTTTTAAACACAAACTATTTTTGCTTGTCATAAATTTTTGAAGCAATCCACAGTTGCATGGGAGATATTGCGAGTATAGGGTTAGTTATTTGTGTTCTAATAGACAAATATTGTTAAGAAATAGTATTTCGTTTGGATAATGAATTGTTAAATTAGTACAATATATTAATAATTAAATTTGTTAAAGGTTTAGGGTCTGTTTGATACAAGGGAATTTCCATGTAAAATGGAAAAGTTTTTCCTTCTTCCACTTTTTCCCTTGTTTGATGACTAAAGTTTTGCCTGGAAACCCTTTTCAAGCTGCCCTCCTCACGCGCCACTTTTCTGATTTTTTAAGGAATAGATTTTCCTTTGGTTTGTGTGATAAAATGTTTTCCAGCTTTTTTTTTTCCTTTTTTTTTTTTTTT